GTGCGTGGCGGGATGAGCTCCGGCGCGATCTCATGGCGGAATGGCAGCAACGACTGTCGCAACCGAGGGCTGGGCTCGCTGCCATCGCAGCGGTAAGTCCCCTCTTTGAGGAGTGGCTTGAGAGACGCTACGGCGTCCTCACCTACCGCCTGACGCAGGTCCTCACCGGACATGGAAGTTTCGGGAGGTACCTGTGTCTGATGGGGCGGGAGGAAACGCCCGGGTGTCATCACTGCGAGGACCGCCCTGAGGACACGGTGGAACACACGGTGGGAGAATGCCCTTCGTGGGCTGAGCACCGCCGTGTCCTCAGGGAAGTGATCGGCGATGGCGACCTCTCGCGTCCGGGCCTAGTGCAGGCCATGATGCGGAGCGAGGGGGATTGGGATGCCGTCTCCTCCTTTTGCGAAGCAGTCATGCTAGCTAAGGAGGAGGCGGGACGCGTGAGGCAGCGAAGCGCTGCCTCCTCGCAACCCAGCCATCGCGAAGGACACACCGGGCGTCGGGGATCGCGGGACGATCTCCGGCCACCGTAAGCGCGGGCCTGCGGACGGCGAGCATGGGTGGCTCCCCGTCCGACCAGAAACAGACCCGAGCGTACGGCGCGTCGCGTTCCGCGCGCGCCTCAAAGAGCCATCAGACCACCACAGATGGGGCCCAATAGGGCCGATGCCGATTCGGAGTCGCGGAGAACCTAACGGGTAACCGGGGCTCCGGCTCGACGTGCAGGAGAAGGAACGGGGTGGTTTTTAGTCAGTAAGAGTCTGACACTCCCTCCCGCCTCACCCAGGCGGGGGCAGTCATTCGATGATTTTCCCCCCTTAAAAAAAAAAAATAGTCCGAAGTGGGTGATTCAGTCCAAGGCAATATTACTTCCAGCTGTCTACGCGTCAAACTCTTTTGCCAAACTGAACATTTTTTTAAATTATTCCTTAATAAAATTTGTTTCATCAATATTTATCTTACAATACAACTGCAGACTGTACATAAATGAGTACAATATTATATTATTTTATAATTTATTACTTAATTAAATATAAATGTTTTGTAAATAAGAGATCTCTAATTCTGTATATTATAATGGATGTCAATTGTGTACTGATTTTTAAATTTAATTTATTATTATTTGTAAATATGTTTGTCAGTATTAAATAAATGTGTATGAAATCTAATTTATATTGTAAATTGTTGTTTTATTATCCTACTGGCTAGTTCGCGCGGCTGAACCCGCTGCTCGGCTACTATTAATTGTAGCGTGATGTTTGATACCCTATAGCTATAGCCTTCCTCGATAGATTACACGACACAAAAATTATTATTCAATTCGAATCAGTAGTTTCCGGAGATCGGGCCAACAAATAAGCAAAATCTTTAGCTTTATAATATTACTATATTCTGCCCGCGACTTCGCACGCGCAATCCCGTTTCCTCCCGTTCCCATAAGATTTTCAGGATTTATTTGTCATAAGAACCTTCTCCTGACAATAGACTAGCTGACCCAACAGACGTTGTCCTGCATATCCTATATATATATATTCATCCTTTTTGTTTATACATACATGAATGTATAAACAAAAATTCATTCAAATTAGTTCAGCTATTTAGGATAAATAACCTAAACACGACTGCAGCGCCATCTGCCGGGCTGATTTGTGAATCTAAACCATTCCCAGATCCCCTTGAACACAAAAAATTTCATCAAAATCGGTCCAGTCTATTGAGAGAAGTTCAGTGACATACACTCACAGAAGAATTATATATATAAAGAAGATAGGTATGTAAGTCCAAAAGGTCTTTCAGGAGTGGCTTGTAGGTAGTGCGTATTCACCTACCGCCTGACGCAGGTGCTTACTGGACACGGAAGTTTCGGTAGGCTCCTGTTTCGGATTGGGAAGGACACGGTGGAGCATACGGTGGCAGTGTGCCCAGCGTGGGCTGAGCAACGCCGTGTCCTCAGAGGGATG